TAAGGAGACTAGTGTTTTCTCCATATACACAACACTGTTCTACCTATTCTTACAACCGTTTGGTCTTTGGTCGCTAATGATATTAGTTGTCTTAAGTACCCATGATAATTCTCCGTTTCTCCGTTTCTCCTTAATCTCCGTTTTCATTGTCTACTTTTTTGCTGTTTCCTTTAAAACTGTCATGATTTTTGTTATTAATATTATATATTCATAGTGAAACCATTTACATACTTGCTTCTCAGTATCAACTGTTCGAGCATCGCTTGGAGAATTTTGGCATTGTCTCCCTCCCATTATGACTAAATGATTGGTTTAATATTGAGGTTAATACCTTTTCTGTTTACACCAAGGCTCTCTCGATTCCTCTCCGCCCATAACTCTACGAGTTTCAAATATATTTTCAAAGATTTTCGTAATTTAAGGTAAACTTTACTTGCAAACATGTTTATTAATAATAATCTAATAATAATATTTATACCTTACTTGCTCACTTGTTTGGTACATCTATTATTCATATTTATCTCAACAGGATGATTTATCGAGATAGATTCATTCTTTTTGCTCCAACCAATAGGAAGTGTGCACGAATTACAAATGCATTGCGGATAATATTTAATAGAGATTTAATGGGCTAGGAATCGCGAGCACACCAACTTTTATCCTTAATCAGAGTGTATGGCAAGCGTGTAACTCAGATATGACGGTAATGCTCATTTAAAAGCCGTGTACAGTACATTGAGAACATTGTGTAAGTTTAGCTTGGCTGTTTACAGGTGTAGCCATCAAACAAGCGATTTTTTTAATTTGTTTCAGTTATGCAACTAAGTTGATCTTTCTGTAAACTAAAGCGAAAATCTAAAACTAAAGCGCTTAGGCATACATATTTTATGTAGTTACTTATTTTATTAATTCAAAGTATTTCCGATCGTTCAGCTAGTGGAGTTTTGTTTTTGTATGATTCAAATATATTGTATTATAGATAAATTATGCGAACTTATTTTTCAAATTATTATAATAAAGAAATATATAAGGCACCTTTTTAGAAACGAACCATTATTTTTGTTTCAAATTTCACGAATTATATATTAAAGTCTTTTAAAATTTATGTTGGTATTTTCAAAACATTTTGAACTATAAATACATGATAGTAGTATCATCTACTAACCATTTTTATATCATACGTAGAAGTGTCAGCCCTATTTGAACATGTTTCATATGGAATAAATAATATAATTTACTTAATTGTGACGGAACCTATCTGGTACTAGTTGCAGTACTGACGACCAGGCACCATACAGCCGCCGTCACTCTAAGAACGTCATTCAAGTATCCCTCTGGTGCACTCTCTGTGTTTTTTAACAGTCCAGGCACAGGTCAGCGTTTTGGTCAATCTTGTCGAATACGATGAAGAGCTTGACGTAGGTACAACATAACCCACAAGCACAAGCCTCTGAGTTTCTCGCCGTAACTTCTCGGTGGGTCGTGATTCCGATTCAGTGGTAAATTCTGCGAAGCACTGCTCTTGCTAGGGCAGTGGTTCACAAAGTCTCTCATGCTGAGTCCTCTGAGCTCACCCGGCAATTTGTTGAAACAAGAATAGCTATCGAAGCTACAGGTAAAAAATGAATATGGCTTTATTATGTCTCGGAAGAAATAACCTTAAACTTTGTTTTTTCGCCTAGTCCTAACTAAAGTACGACAACAAAATTTTTTGTTCAGTTATAAGGCTTTAAGTCCAGAAAGGCTTATCAAAACAATAAAATAAGACTTTTTCATTGCGAATTAAATAATTAATTACTGATACTTGACTTATAATAAAAAATTAATCACATTTAATTTTTGATTACATTTCGCGGTCCGACCTTCAAAACAAATTTCACCCGCTTGTTTCTTGGCTCGTGTTTAGTTGCGCGATTCACGTCTCCCAAACGCGGATTTATTGTTTGGGCAATCAAGTTGAAAGCCCGTCGCGAAGAGGCGACTGCCAACTTCGTAGTACATGGTAAGTTCCACTTACGCAGAACTTCGCTTTGTCTGAGTTACACAGGTCGTTTGTTTGTCACGGAGAAGTAAACATTCTTCTCTCTTTAATGCTCGGTATACTCGGTACTGATGTTGCTACGACAAAAATATTGTATGTGATCTTTTTCATTGGTCCTAAAGCATTTTTAGCTGTTCTTTTTTCGGTTTAGTGAGGACATCCACTTTTTCGGTTATTTTGATTCTACGCAATAAGAATACCACATTAGGTGAACTCCTAACAAGTTTTTTTTTTAAAACTGATGGATTGCTGGTGGGCCGGATGTCTTTTCAGTTTCATCAGGGCGGGTGAACGAGAAAAAGTTCAGATAGGAGGGGTGGGTTTGCTAACAGCTGACCGAGTGCCTTCGAAGGAGGCCTAAAAACTCAAGGGCAGCTGCTTCGTGCATGCACTCGTATCGATTGTTTCGATTGTACCCTTATTATAAAAGTAAACAATCAACGTCGCCCTAAACACGTCATTACGGATCCTCCCGATCCATTAAGGGTGCTTTTAGGTACCTCAAGCACCGGTCGCCGTCCTCGCCAAACTCATCGCTTGCGACGAAGGACTCGGCGAGTAAATTAATCCATAGACACAGCCCACTGAGTTTCTGGCCGGATCTTCTCAGTGGGTCGCATTTCCGGTCCGGTGGTAGATTCCGCGAAGCACTGCTCTTGCTAGGGTCAGTGTTAGGGTCAATCTCCGGTTTGAGCCCCGAGAGCTTACCTACACGTTAGGGTAACGCTGATATGGCCTCTCAAGGCTATCAGCATAGGTAGGAAATATATAGATTCCGTATGCAGATACCAATTTTTCAAAGGAAATACATAGTTAAAACGTGTTTGCAACCAATTTCCTCTTCGAAGGTATAATAGCCGGCAAACTTCTTGAGCATTTGTTGACGTAGTGGGGGTAAGTTTGCGCATGGTACACTCACGTGCAAAAACATTATTTACTCTGCGTCATAATGCAATTAAATTATTAAAATCAACATATGTATTTTTTATATATTTATTAGAACATCAACAAAAAATGTAGGTTAATAATTGTAATAATTTAATCTTGGGGTAAAATAGATATTCCTTCTATTAAGTCAAAACTAGAGCTGTTGCCAGGTCTTGGTTCAGTTGAAGCGAAGCTGGTATTTGTATTATTTTTTTCGTTATCATAATCTTGACCATCATCATCATCACTGTTTTCATCACCCGAGTCGCTATCATCGTGATTAGTCGACATAGGGCTCATCGGTGTAGTTTACAACTCGGTCGATTCGGTCTTCTTTTTTGTCTATAATTAATTATTTTTTGAAGATATTCGATTCGTAGTAATCGAATGTTACTTTTTTCAATTACCAGCTTCCGATTATTTTCTGTTCTTTTTTTCCATCTGAAGCCTAGCTCTTTCATAATACGTCGTAAGCTTCATTCCGAGCCATTAAAATTTATATCTTCTTTAAATTTTTCGAAGCCTTTCTACGGTACGGAGTTTCGCTGCTTGTTATGTAGTTATTATGATTACATCTTTTTATTACAGATTGAACGAAACTATCCATTCCGGTAACTTTCTTCTTCCCTGATCTTTTCTTACCCGGAGTCCGAAACACGGCGAGCAAGCCAGAGCCTTTAGCTTCGTTAATAATGCACCTAACAGTACTCACTGATGTTTTTGTTGCTTCCGAAGTCTGTTTTAATTTTTCCATATCATTCTTCCCCTGTTTTATAATGAAGCAATATACGTCGTACACAAATTTTCTACCCTTTCTTTTAAGTACTACACCAGTTTGTCACGGCATAGTGTATGTTTTATAAAAAATCAACAAACACTCAACAAATAGCAATGGCAACAAAGTCCACAAGCAATTATAACAAATAACTTAACGATTAATAACGATAGACTTTCCACTGTACGCAAGCGTACTTTTGGGAGCAAGCGGAATGAGGGCGCGGTGCGGGACGCAAGGTTCGACTGATCTACCAATAAAGCGCTCGATACGATTTCCCCTGCCGTCGCGCCTCACCCTCACCACCAAAGTGACCTAAAATTCGGTTCTGCGCAGTCAAGGTCATTTGCTCAAGATGTTTGCCGGTTACTATATAATGTTGTATAATAAAAAACAAATCTACAAAAATTTTACATTTGTTAATTACCAGTTGGTCGTATTATAAGCCAACACGAACAGATGGTTCCACTGTTTCAAATTCGAATAATGAGCTGTTTTGAAATAAATTTTAGATTTCGACTGTTTGTAACAAAGTGGGTGGCGGAATTTACATTGTGATTCTAATACCAGGTGATAGAGATAATAAATAATACCTATTGGTTCCAATATTAGGTTTGACGTGTAACTCAATCCTTAAAAAAAATGTTTGTTTTTTTTTTGTGTAATTTTTTTATTTTTTTTTATTGCTTAGATGTATGGACGACCTCACAGCCCACCTGGTGTTAAGTGGTTACTGGAGCCCATAGACATCTACAACGTAAATGCGCCACCCACCTCGAGATATAAGTTCTAAGATCTCAGTATAGTTACAACGGCTACCCCACCCTTCGCACCGAAACGCATTACTGCTTCACGGCGGAAATAGGCGGGGTGGTGGTACCTACCCGTGCGGACTCCCAAGAGGTCCTACCACCAGTGATTACGCAAATTATAATTTTTGCGGGTTTGATTTTTATTACACGATGTTATTCCTTCACCGTGGAAGTCAATTGTGAACATTTGTTGAGTACGTATTTCATTAGAAAAATTGGTACCCGCCTGCGGGATTCGAACACCGGTGCATTGCTACATACGAATGCACCGGACGTCTTATCCTTTAGGCCACAATGACTTCAAATTAATACAACGTAATTACTTACTTAAACTTATAAATTAAAAATATCGTCAGGAAACATGGTCAAATATAAGTTAACCCATTCGTTTTAATTGTAACGCATTAGTAAATAATACAATAACTTGGTATTTTCTGGTTCGTAGGCTGCAACCGAACATATTATGGTGACATCGGTCGGACATACGAAGTTGAACTGCACAGACCTAGAGAAGACCTGGTGCCGTATGTGTGCTTACTCACCATCACCGCTGCCGGTGGAATACACGGAGATTTGGTACAGGTTAGTTTTTGTCGCATATTACAAAAAAAAAAAAAAACAATAATTACTCGGAAGCTAGGGCACCATTAAGCAGGCCGAATGCAGGCAACATTGGAGAAAGCTAGTGCAAAAACTGGATCAAGGTGGTCACGACCCTCAGTAATGAGGAAGGAAGCAACGAAGAAGAAGAAGGTTTTGCGAAAATCGCTCTTAGATATCATTAATAAATAAATATTTATTAACAATCACGCCACGTTAACTGGTCCCGTGCTAAGTTCGTAAAGAACTTGTGTTACAGGTACCAGATAACGGAAATAAATGTAAGATTTTTATTATACACATACATATATTTAATATACATCCATAACCCTAGAAAATACATTTTATGTTTATCATACAAATATCTTCCCTTGGCGGGATTGGAACCCGCGACCCCCTTGTGTAGTGACCATGTCACTTGCCACTACACCAGACGGCCGTTAAATATCAAGACATTGTTTAGCTGTCGGTGAGCTTTGAGATAATATACAGAACTAGTAGAATTTATAATAAATAAAATGAACAGAATATCCAAATCAAAGTACTTATTATATTTTATGGCTTAAGCAAAGTAAATAACAAATGATTTTGTTTCTCCGTGATTGATGGTACAACTCAAGATACATGATCAAATATGATTTGCGATTTTAGTCATTACGTTAACAAAGCCCGATGAGCGAGTGCTAGATATCTTTCAAATCAAATAGACAATAACAATTGCAGTGATATTTTTTTTGTTGAAGCTCAAACCTATAAGCTCCGTGACATAAATCACAACAAACATTTTTAAAACAGTGAAAATTCACACATTTTCGAATGTCATATTTTCGAAGTGTCAAACGTCAAAATGGCTTCTAAATTTGAAAAACCTGACAGCGCGCGCCTTCCATGATTGCTTTTCCTCGTTCAGCTTATTTACATGAACTTCTACTGAAATGAAGGAAAAATATCGTAGGTCCCTTTCAAGAGGCGACGTCGGTGTATGAAAAATGTGGATGTCAGCCGACATTTTATGACTTACCTTTCCGCTACTTCTATATAAAGTACAGGGTGAATCTTTTATTTTTCTCCAAGCGCTATGTTATTGGAGGCACCAATATATTTTGGTATACTACAAAGATTTTACCAGCTTTCTTATTAAGTTATTTATCGTCATGTTGTAGTTAAATTAACGTTGTCTTTGACTCATGTGATATTTGTCACGTAACTTTCTTGTTGGCGTAATAAACAATTTTGAATATTATAACCGTCTGTCGCAAGCAATCATAGCTTGTTCACTAGATTGTGACGTTACAAGATACAAACTGCGACCCGTAGTTACATAGTTAAGACAAAGTAACATAAAAAAAAAAATTAAGATTGTCATTGACAAGTTTGAATAAATATTGTAACTTCAATAACCCTTTTATAGAAATAATAATTATAACACATTAAAACATGGGTATTATTTTAAAAGCGTTCAACTTAATATCCAAATAAAATTATAAGACCGAGATAAAAACGACAATAACAAAATAAAGCAGAATCGTTGTTTGCATAAAATTGAATACAACGAGAAAAGGGACAAAAAATTTATAAAGGTGCGCGTTGCGTTGCTTACCCGAATAATGGGGCTCTTCTACCGTTTTGAGCACGCAATTATGAGGTGAATGCATATGACCGCTCTTTTTATTCTCCATTAATCATTTTATACGTTGATGAGTCAAATGTTTATGTTTGTATCACATAACAAAACGAAAAAAATTATTATTACAAATTTCAAATTTCGTTCTAAAACTAGCTAAACAAAAAAAAAAACAAAATAATTTACTTTTTGTATAAATAAAAAAATTGTATTGGTCAAAGGTATTTTATTTTCAGTTTTCGTTAACTTTGACCATTCGTACAGTCTCGGATTAAAATAGAAATCGGTTTACTTTTTTTACGTTATAGCGTGAGTTTAAAATAATTATTGGATAATTTGTAAACAGACTCATATTAACCGAAATATAATTATATCATAATATAATTTCATGCTGAGAAGCGTCGTGGCTGTGCTTCTAGTGTTAGTCTGTTCTATCTGTTGAGTCAATAAAACACAATTCTTACACTGGTAGCCCAAGTGTGTCAATAAATGATCCATAGTTAGATTGTTGTAATTTTGAAATAGTCGGTTGAGATGGTTTGATTCAAGCAAAGTTATAAATAGTTTTTTAATAATGTACTTTTTATACTGTATAAACTATTATATGTACGCATGTATGTATGTATGTATGTACGTATATATGTATGTATATGTGTATGTGACTGTGTATATATGTATGTATATACTTTTTTTGTGTGTATGTATTTGTAACTTAATATAAATTTCATTGCACCTACCACTATTCACTCTGCACTACCTTTGGTTGACTGGTAGAGAATGCCTTAGGCATTAAGTCCGCTAATGTAAATTTTACATGAAGTGTAATAAATAAATAAATAAAAAAAATAGGTGCGCCGTTGTTTGACTATTTCAGTTAATACTCTTACTAATTTATTTAAAACTTTATTTTGTTCATAGGTTTGATTTTACGGAATAAATGTCTGTCTGGTGTGCAAACAATTATTTCGTTGATACTCACCTATAGAGGTAGAAGTAAATGTCTTGTTGTATGATGATCATATCGGCGTTTCAAAACCTTTTATCCTAATGAAACTTTGTACAATTATTGTTGGTGCTTCATAAAAGATCTACATCGAGTAGATAAGATAGTATCATCATCGTCAATCATATAGTTTTAGCAATAGTCCTAGCGGAATGATTCATTGACATAATGACCATTCAGGCCGAAATTCGGATTTCTTTTGATATAAGTACGTTTAAATAAATATATACAGTACCAGACAATAAAAATTGCACATCGATATTTAGAAAGAGACAGTCGTCTAATTTTGTTTTTGTTGTAAAGCGTTACATGTGTGCGACGAAACACTAACGGTCCGGTATGTATGGAGACTAAATCTCAATTAGGTAATGTGCGACAAATATAACGCTCTACGAAGCAAAAATTAACCGTCTCTTTCCCATGGTCGATGTGCAATATTTATCGCCGGATACTAGCATATAAATAATAAGCACCCAGACATAGAGCAAATAAACCTGTTCATCACACGAATGTTTGCCCGATGTGGGAATCGCACCCAGGACCCTCGTCGCAACAGACAGGCGCTGTAACTACTTCACCACTGAGTCCCCGAGTAAATCATTCAAAAACTTAAAAACGACAACTTAATATAAGAATTACGTGAACTCATTGATTGTCAAACAAGAATGTCGTTTAGTTACACTACATTTTGCCCGAAGTCCAAAATATCTGGAAGAATCAAATATTATTCTGCAAACAAACAGAACTATCGGAAACAAATAGAATATATCTTTCTAAACATCTATTGTTTATAAACATTGAACTCATTATGTACTAGTTTTTATGATTCAAAGTAATATACTCATATATATAATATTTTTTAAATTGTTAATTTAATGACAATATATTTCACTTTAATTTAATGACTATAAAATCTATCTACGCACTACGCAAGATAACCCAGGTCAGTTGTCTCTTGGGTATATTGACGTGTTTCTTGATTAGAACATGTAAGCTCCAAGGCACCGAACGAGAAAGTTAGGCAAGTAATTAATAGAGTAATTAATTGAAAGCAAGACAGTTAACAGAAAGATGGCTATAATTCGCTTTGCGAATGCCCCCTCCCACTTTCAGCCGTGTGGTCTAGGTTTTTTTTTTTCTGAGGGGTTATTGGTGGTCCAGAGGCCTTTTCAGTTTCTCCAGGACAAATGGGCGAGCAGAGCTTCAGTCAGGAGGAGTGAGATTTGCTAACAGCTGCCCGAGCGTCTCTAAAGGAGACCTAACAATTTAAAAGCAGCTGCTTCTCGAATGAATTTACTACCGGATCGGAATCCATGGTGCATGGGCTAAATTGCACGTCGAACTTTTTGTCGATTTCGATGAGTACGGTTACTGGAGCCCTTAATCCTTCTCATAATGTTGGATCTGATGGATACATAAGTGTCTAGGGCGTCGACCGTGATTGACATTTGTATTAGCAAGCAGGATTCGTGGAGTCAGCGGCGGCAGCAATATGAGGTCTAACCCCCGTGTCTTTAGTCGTTTAATTGAGCTCAACTCGACTCGACTCAACCTCCAACGCGCGTTTTGGTATGATTAGTCGTAAAAATAAAATCCACTCAAACGTCCTTGGAAAATTTTCCTAACCGGAGTGAAGTAAGCGAACTGTCAAGTCAAGGTACGTCGCGACGTACCTTGAACGTTCCTCAAGGCTGGTTTTCTATCAGTGTCCAAATAGTATGTAGACCGCAAATGGAAATATATGATATTGTTGTGCAATGGCCTGGATCTGTGCATGATTCCTGCATATTTTGATAATTTAAGTTTGATAATATTTATTAATGAAGTAAATAGTTCGAGCTTAGACATTTGAAACTCTTTATTTTATTTACCTACATAAGAGTCATATTTTGCTTACTACCTGATAAATAAAGTCAATGCGATTATAAGTTTTATTTATATAATAATAAACTGGTGGTTGTGGAAAAGCACTTCAACAACACGATGCAATGAAAATCACACAAAAGCGGCGAATAAAAATACAAAGCCGGATCCGAAATCTAAAATAATAATAGGTTAGAAAATAAATTATACACTTTCAGATTTACCGCACGCACACATATTTACGAATAACTCAGCAACCAAAACATCAAATCATCAAACAAGTTCAATGCTTCTAGTGTCAAACAGACAGCGGCAGCTTGATTTTGACATTAAACAATGATCATAGACTACAGAACTCAATGGGTTTGATGCTAGCTTGATCAAATTTTCATCATTATTACCTCACTCGAGGACAGTTGAGGAATATTGTAATGGTCAACTAAAAATACCAAACTCGAGTGAGTTTGGGAGGAATGCTCGAGCATCATCGGA